AAGTAGTGACACTTTTGGGTTAGGGCCACGTTTTAGAGTAACAATCCGACCTTACAATGATCAATTTTGAAATAGCTGCGTCTGGCGAGCTAAAATGGTCATCGAAAATGTAGAAAATTTTTATTGCAGAAATCGATGCAGAATGATGGGGGCACTCGATATATTGCTTGAGCTAGAAAAATGGATGAAAATTACACATGCTAGGGACAAAAACCTGCTCCAGAAGTGCTTGAGCATTGATTCTGGGCTCAATTTCGGAGATTATTTCAAAATTGTTCTTCATTAACCTAAATATACATATAATTTACTCTTATAACCGTATACATTTTTTATTTGATTCAAGGAAGCGGCTGTGGAGCCTGCTGAGGCATCGAGACGCGTACTCCCAATTTGGACGCGTCTCATCACGTGAGGGTATCACACATGATCACATCACAATCTCGGAGCGTCATCCAGGTCCATCTGACTGCATCCAGCCATTCCGGGTGGGCCGGAGTAGAGGAGAGCTATTCTAAAAGTAGAACTAGGTGCTCGGGGACTATAAATGGTTAAAACTATTTTTATTTCACAGTGAATGACCCGGAGGAAGCAAAATGCTGCCCAAATGCACTGAAAATTGAAAATTGATGCGCCAGGCCAAATGTGGAGGTGGCTGACATCCCCGGATGGTGCGCAGGAGCCAAAATAGGCAGGCCAACATGTTTGCAAACATTATTCTAATCAGAAGCATTTCAAATTAGAGTCATATTCGCAAACAGCTTTGACTTCTAGTAGAGTAAATGTTCATGAACATTTGACTCTACTGCCTGTGTACACCTACCTTCCGCTTACGGATTCTAACGAAAAGATTCTACGAGCTGTACCTCCAGAGTCCAAGGTCAACCCAGACTACGGTATTTCTGTTGGGAGGGGCGCGTTTCACTTCGACATCGCAGTGGGCCGCTGGGTCAGCCTCGCGTTCCGGGTGAAGCTGAACCGCCCCGGTGCGCATGACGGTATGTCCATACACACATGATCATCTGTTTAATGGGCGCATATATGCGGTCCGCCGTCTCGATAGGCCATTTGCAAGTCTGGGTCGACGGGCGTACTGTGATCCATGTTGCCGACCTGTTGATCTGCAAATCGGAGGATGCAAGAATCAAAGGCATGCACTTCCAAACGTTCTTTGGTGGTATGTCTACCATTCCCTAGTCTATTTCCCTTCACTGATATCTCAATCTAGGGCACACGCAGGACTGCGCTTGTCCAAAGGATCAACGCGCATGGTTTGCAGACATCTCCGGAGCGATCTTGCATTGAGAAGCCTGGTAAGCTTGTTGCTGGTTTTGTTTGGCTTTGCAAATTTTCTGTGCCGTCTCTTGCGCTCCTAGTGTATGTTCTGGAGCCTGTGGACTCCTGCAGGACTTTTTTTTTTCGCTTCGGCCGCGGCTATTAGTTTTGAGATAGACCAGCTTGTGTGGTAAATTTTATCAGTATTGTACCATATACGTACTATTATAAACTTCCCTCTGCGATGGCGTCGGTAAAGAATAAAGTGTGAATTGAGAACGCGGATCTGAGTAGATAGAAAGTTCAATTATAAAGATGGACCTAGTAAAAAGTTGTGGCACTAATCAGTTGGCATTATATAATTGACAATGAACTGCTCGTCAAGAAAATAAATATTGAGATCCGTAGATCTACCACTCCGGGAAAGCGTGTCATCCTTGTGCAGGGGCCATGCTAATCTTCTCTGTATCGTTCCAATTTTTTCGTATGTCACCCCGAAGGGGACAATGATTGATAGGTTGGTCATCACATCAATAACAGGCTTTTGCTTTTTGCTCAACCCACGGGTGTCTGTTCACTCGAGCACACTTAACTTATTTAAATGTAAGGCCAAGAGTAAATCTGGCTGTCAAATTTGCAGTTTCAGTCGAGTAACCATTGAACCAGATACCATTGAACCAGATACTCAAATTCATGTATGACAACTTCGTGGCCTCAAGTCTGCAGAACATTGCAAGCCCGCAGCGACACTGGGCACATGGTGTAGTTGGTTATCACGCTCGCTTTGCACGACCTGTATTCGTCGGAGTATTTCATATGCGAGTGGTCCTCGGTTCAATTCCGGGTGTGTCCAATAGATTTGCGTCAAAGACGTCTTTTTTGGGAGCATGTTGTTTGGCAAGAAGGGTGACACCAAATCACGCTGAGAGCACCGCCGCAGCCTGAGTGCATAGCTTGGCAACGAATCATCCGCTAAAGCTACACTACGATCGAGAATTGCTGGACAATAAATGGTCTGTAAGGTCCATTCTTTACAATAATTATTTATCGAAGTCCTTTCCATCCAGACCAGTCGTAATGATGGCTACATAGCGCTTCCTCCCAACACCGATTCGCTGCGTTCGCGCGCCGCAACTGACGTTGACGCTGCACATGAGCCTCTCCTCTCAAACCGAAACTCGAACTTGCGGGGGTCATTCCAGCTCCAAAAAGACGGCCATTCTTACACATATACCTATGGGCCGAAAGGAATAGCAGGCCTCGTCCACAATTACTATGCTCTTTTGTGTGCATTCTTCGCGTCTTTTGGCGGCTTAACATTTGGATATGACCAGGGTGTGGTGAGTGCTCAAAACTTTGTGTATATCTGGATTTGGAAGATATAAACGCGCTTTTAGATTGCGAATGTCCTGGTCATGTCCGATTTCACACAACGATGGCCTATTACACCACTCCAGAAAGGCATCATGAGTACGCATACGATTACATCTCCGAACAGTATGAACTCATCGAGTGGTTGTAGCCGCTGTGCTGGAACTCGGAGCCCTTATTGGAGCCCTCGGGGCTGGAATGCTTGCGGACCGATACTCACGCCGACACTCTATATTCGCTGCATGCAGTAAGAATGTAGCCTTACTCTCTTTATGCAATTCAATCCATGCCAATCATAGTCGTATTTTGTATCGGGTCTGCATTTCAATGCGGTGCGCAATCCCTAAGCCATCTCTTCATTGGACGCGCTGTCGGAGGGCTTGGTGTTGGGGCTTTGAGGTGAGTAACTACTAGATTCGTTTTTGTACCTATACCTAAATCTCCCCAGTATGCTTTCCCCATTGTATATGGCCGAAATCAGCCCCCCAGAAGTCCGGGGATCGTTGATGGCTCTTGAGCAATTTTCCATTGTCCTAGGCGTTGTTTTCGGTTTTTGGACTGGATTCTTCACGCGTTCTAGTGTGTATATCTTTCCTTATGCCAAGTTTCAACAGAAAGCTTATCTCATTCTGAAGTTCCTTCATCTGCCTCTTGGCGTGTACCACTCGGAATTCAACTAATACCCGGCGCGATACTTGGTCTTGGATGTTTCTTCCTTCCCCCATCTCCTCGGCTTCTCGTGCTTCACGGTCGCTTTGAAGATGCCTTGAAGAGCCTAGCACGATTACGGCTGAGGACACTAGATGAGGCACGCAACGACCCGTTGCTACAGGTTAAAATTCCGCAATTTCTGAGGTACTATAATGATCTAATCGTTTCGAATACTGTCTTCAACAGCTCGAACTTTTAGAAATGAGAGTCGAAACCACTTTGGTTCAACGAGCATTGGATGACGGTGTCGTCGACGGTGCTGACCAGCTGCAGCCATGGAGTCTCAAAGCGGAATTACGCGCCTGGCGCAGGCTGTTCCAACGGAAGTATCGAGATAGGACCATGGTCGGTGTGCTCATCATGGTGTTCCAACGTGCGTCTATCTTCTTTGTATCTACATCTCTGATTTATCCCTTTCCCTTTACCCAGAATGGAGCGGAATCAACGCACTTCTCTACTATGGGCCGACCATCATCCGGAGTATCGGATTACGTGGTGACACAGTGACGTTGCTGGCCTCAGGAGGTATTGGCATTGTGCAGTTCCTAGCTGTCATACCCGCCATCCTATACATCGACCGCTTAGGTGCGATAGTTGCATCGATTTCGCGCGCCTCACGCCACGGAACTAATCATCTCACCATAACAGGTAGAAAGCCACTCCTCCGAAGTGGAAGTGCTTTGATGGCATTCTCGCATCTTACGATCACATTGCTGGTACGGCATCCTTGGTCTTGATGGACACAAAAGGACGAAATGAATGTTTACTTATAGGTATATCAATTCGAGTCCGACTGGGCGGCTCATTCTATCGCAGCGTGGTCAGCAGTTGGGTACGCATTTGGTCGTTGATGCTCCCTCGATCATTCTAATATCTTGTAAAGCGGAATATACACATTCACAGCTGCGTATGGTGTGTCCTTCGGCCCAATCGGGTGGGTCCTCCCCAGTGAAGTATTCCCCTTGTCGATGAGGAGCAAAGGTGTCGCCCTTTCCACAGCGTCTAACTGGTTTAATAACTGTAAGCTCCCTCACGCCTTGAAACCTAGATTTAGTATTGACGAAATTGACATGCAGTTCTCATTGGACTCGTCACGCCCGTTCTCATGGACCGTTCGCCTTCGTAAGTTCTTGACATCGGAGGGTAATGCTTTGATCGTATTGAAATGAGGATGCAGGGGGACCTTCATGGTATTCGCAGTAGCGTGTACCCTAGCATATTTCTGGTCAACGTACATGATTCCAGAAACGGCGAATGTCTCCCTCGAGGAGATAGATGCAGTGTTCACATCCTCAGTCGGTACCGAGGATGCGCTTTTAAAGCACCAGGCGCGTTCTCTTTTTCCAATTTTTACCCCAAATATCTAAACATCTTTTTTAGATCGAAGAAGACTTGGGCCTGCGGAAGTTGGTACACGAGTTGGCTGGGGAGGTCGATGCCAGGTCTTGACGAGAACATATTGGACATTCACTAATAGTACATTTACTCATCCGATTGGCTCTAACTCTGATCATAGATCTTCTACATAATACAGTCTGGTTCACTTCTTGTGAAGGCTTGCTCGCACAGCGTTTGCATTTTCGACCGCGCATAAACTAAGCATAACACATTACTATGTCCCGACCATTCCACATCGCTAAACAGCCGTCCACCCGTCTTCTCCCATACCAAAATCTCTAGCCCTCGCGCTCCTCGCGCTGACCCTACCCATAAAAGCATCATAATCAAATATCGTGATAGCGGGGACAGGGAGTCGTCGATGTCCGGATTCAGACCCAGACAAATCATGATTCTCGGGTAGGAGGGTGGATATCCGAGAACAATTGGAAGGTAACTCCGCGACGTTCGCGGAGAGATCTCTCAGGGTATGCTGTGGAGAGGGACGATGTCGACGAGGTTGGGGGTATGCGCTCGGGCATGGTAGTGTCGAACTGGATGGTGATGGTGCCCGTCATGATTTTCTGGTGATCGTCGATGATGTGGGTAAGCGTGTTGAGGTTTGAGAGGATGGCTGGAGGCGGAGTCGTATACAGTAGATGTGAGTTACAAATATTCAACGTTCAACGTTAAATAAATGGGCGGGGTCGTAGAAAACAGCGCCGGCACTGGTTTAAATTATAGCAATGGGTGGGGGGCCATCTCTTATACTGTGTTGAACATGTCAACCGGCACCGTCCGTTGACCACGCCATCATTGTAGAATCAATCCAGCCGAAACTATTCTGGATGTCCGACGTACACGCTGTATTTATGATCATCGATATCATGCAGGGTTTCGGTCACCATGGGAGACTGCAGGCAGAGACGCTATTTGGATTGTTATAAATCAGCGTATCATGAGGACCATCAAACGAAGTACTCACAACACGTCTTTCTTTCAGTTAGTTGGCTGGTTGCCCAGTTCATATAGTGCAGTATCTTCTAGACCGCTGCAATGTTCAGTGGAAGTACAAATGCTTAGAAGTTGATGTGCTTTGGGTAGCATATGCAATTTTCACAAAAATAAGCAAAAGGTCTAGCAGATAGATCTGTAGGCTATAGTGGACACACCCGGAATTGAACCGGGGACCGCCCGCAGACGCACAATGCTAAGCGGGCGTGATAACCAACTACACCATGTGCCCAATGTAAGATAATTGAAGGTGGTCAACCAAAAAGCATGCGAGCAAGGGTACATCTGATAGAAGCACTTTGTATCGCAGTCAGTTCATGTTAGATGAAAAAATCACCAAGATAATTTCTTCATATCCCAGATGCGTACCCACCACTCAGAGTAGTATTGAACCTCCTGGCCGTAGTATGGTCATCAACTTTGGTCGCTTTCCTTAGAGGGGGTATATGTTCCTTGAGCTCAAAGATAATGCTCGGTGAGACATTTACTGGCGAAGGAGGTCCAGAGACGGAAATAATGTGCGTGACATCCCCAGAAGCAGAGGGAACGTAGGAGGCTAGCCTGGAACGGGATGTCTTCTGCCATTTTCACAAAAACGCTTAATCTCAGATGAATAGAAAGTAGCAAGGAATTGAAGGCGGCGTACCAGAGAAGGGCGATTGCGCAGTCAATATAACTGACTTGTCCTCTAGTCTCCCCGTGTGCATTTGGATCTCTATTCGACGTAGACCGTAGACGTTTGAGTTCATTATATTCTGGAGTGCTTATATTACGAGGCATATTGCGAGGCCAGTCAAGATAAGAGCTCAGAACACCAGTTTTATGATCTCAATATTGGCAAGGTCGTCCTTGTTGAGTGTGGCCGAGTTGTGCTTGGCAGATTTTGTAACGATAATAAAACAGGAAAGTCCGGTTAAATACAAGCATAGTCACAATATTGTCCGGAGGGCAGATCTTGTTTGTGAACAAGGGTAGCAAAATTGGGGGGGTCGGCACGAGGGCACGAATTCGGTGTGTCCTTTATACTCGGGAGATGCCGCTGCAGTGCGCGGAGCCTGAAACGCAGCTTGACCGCTTCTATCACGAACAAGTAATGCGGAGAGCATGAATGTAAGTTCCCAAGACACGAATCCACTCTAATTCGTACTCATTTATTTTCAGAACCTCCTTAGAACTCTGACTGAAAGTCAGGTCAAGTCCATATACCCTGACTCGGACCTCAAACTACTATTAAATACCGTCAAGGAAGCCCGGGTAAGTCGCCGTAACCTCATTAATGATTTCAACTTGATGCTTGGAATCATTAGCGGCAGAGTTATGATAATAAAGTATCTGCGGCCGACCCGTTCTATGACTCTCTGGAGGGGCTATTGTTGGACT